CATTCTCTGCGGATGGGAACTTGGGCTGAAGGGCTGAGCAATGCACGACGTTCTCAATATTACAACTACTACTGGACAGGACTTGGCGTCGCAAGATTGAACCAATCTTGTTGCGGCAACTCCCGGTTTTTGGGTTGGACGTTTTCCCAGATCATGCCACAGCAACAACTTGTCACATGTCAGGATCCATTTGATCACGGGACATTGCGGACGCGTTGCAGTGACACTTCCAAAGTGTCACGGCGAGTTGTGTCCATGCCCAAACACACTAAAATCGACACGGGCTAGATCTGTGAACCGAACCATGTGAGGAATGACTGGCGTGCCTAGGACCATACGGCTTCTTGGGGCACCCACGTTGGACTCACCTGCCAAGACATACCAGTTGGCCAATCCAACACGTCGTATTCCAAAAGTATGACGCGGTGGGTTGACCCACATCAAAAGTACCATATGGACTATGGGGCGGGGTCCTGATCAGTCAGGACCTGTCCGATTGTCCAACTTTTCATTACTCTAAAAGGCAACCAATTTTAGATAGCGTAGCTACTATGCAGTTGTACAGTACTTTACTAAGCATTGTCGTAGACAGTATAAGTAGCACGTCATTTCTTTGTATTAAAATTTTTTCCCTCGGACTGTGAATCACTCTCATATCAGATTGTTTTGTACAATTTGCATGTCACGTGATTCCACCCTAAGAAGTTCTGCCACCCCTGGCCGGTTGCAACGAGTTGCTCCCTGAGCACCTGTAGCTACTGTGATTTGAGTTTGAGTTTTGAGATATCAGAAAGTCGGATTCGCCGCATCTGGTTTCAGTCGCGGCATTTAGTGTCGTCGCCTTTGGGCTTTGTTGAGATTGTTTCCACACCTCTAGCTTGGCAGTGCGTTGACTAGTTGTGCTTGGGTTGTTTTGGTCAGTTGGCAGTGCATCGACTTGAGAACTTTGGTTCCACACTTCTTGCTTGGCAGTGCATCGACAAGTTGTGCTCGGGTTTTTGGACATTGGACATTGGCTGTTAGTTGGCAGTGTGTTGACGCGGCATTTTGGTTTACTAGTTGGCAGTGCGTCGACTCAGTATATTGGTTGTATCGGTTGGCAGTGCGTCGACTTGATACTTGGGCTTTGCGTCGCCATCTGGACGCTGTCGCTACAAGGGATCTTAATACTTCGTATTAAGTTCTGACTTGTGATATTGTTGGTTGTGGTTGGATTAGTGTTGGTTTTGTTCGTATAGAAGATATAGGTTGAGACACCACTGTTTGCTATATATAAATTCTTGTCGTTGACTTCGTCTTCCACGACTATTGGATCTGCGTCTATTGAGAGTTGTGATACTGGTGTTCTGTTCACCTCGAAGCCCTCGCATCTTTCACACACTGAGAAGCTGATTACGAGGAGTGTGAACGTGTTTATATTTGGGTTTACTTTCATAGTAGATTCACCTGTGAGCGCACCCTTGGCAATCCAGCAGGAACGGAGGAAGGGAAGATACTGTGGCCTCACTTGGCTTAGGCTCTGATAAACACTTGGAAGTGTTTATCAATTTGTGCATAGCTTTCTTGGCAAGTACAACATCACCCTCCATGTCCATGACCGTAACAAGGGCAGGTTGCCAGTCTTCATTATAGTAAGCTGGCCCAAAGATACCCTTGAGATGTTTTTTTGGCAGATAGAAGCAAGACATCATCTGATGTTGCAAAGTCAAGAATGAGGTTCCAAGCCTGCTTGTCAAGAGCAGATGCAACCTGAGCCTTGTCAGAGAAGGCACAGACATCCATGGCAGCATCATCAGTGTTCCCATCATCCTGCGCATTGATCTGTTCATTGTCTATGGAACTGGGGCAGATCTTGGTGTGATCCCATCAATTTGCAATGGTCAACTGGGAAACCTTGTCCCAAGCTGTGCTAAGAGTTTGCATGGCAGTAAGGATGTCAATCTGGAAGGGATGCTTGTATTTAGATTTGTAGCAATTGATCCATTACACAGATTGTCTGTTTCTTCTGGTAATGTGCCTTGAGGCATTGAATGATTCCCACATTGCACGGTTGGACAAAGGGAGTGAGGTTTGGCTTAAAGTATGCCAGCTCAATGTTCTTTGGCTTGTAGGTGATGTATGATGACCGGAGAAGTTATCTATTGACAGAACAATGTGCCAATGCTGACAGCACATTTTAATGTCCACCTTCTGTTCCAAAGGAATTTACCAAAAAGTGACCCAGTCATTCATTCTTTCTTGTTATGCCAATAGTAAAGGAACATCCACATACAGGATGGATCCTTTTTGTTGAAGCAATGCAGCTTGGCAGCCTTGCCACTGAATATCAGTGGCTCTTTCTCTGTTCCAGTAGAGTTGTACATCACAACAGCAGTGATGCAAAACTTGTCCCACTTCTGACCAGCAACAGGTGCAGCGCAAACAGGGTGATTGGGGGGGGGGGGAGGGGGCAGATGGAGAGAAACTTGTTTCATCTGTATTCCATCTGTCCTCAGGTGCATACTTGGCCATGATTTGTTGTATGTGGTGATAGGCTGGCCACCAGACGCACTCTGCACCAGCTCTATAAGGGTGTATTTTTGTACTTTTACAGAGTTTACTCTTGAACCACTTGGTGTATCATGTCTCAGGTGCCAGTTTTGTGCTCAGTAGGACTTAAGGGTTTGCTGCTGTCATAATTCGGCCACTTTTTATCTTATCTTCGACGATCTCATCTTATCTTGGCACGACTTATCTTATCACAGATCATGGCATCAAACAATCTGGGCTAGGGGTCCAGGGGATTATCCTTACCGATTCAAGGCTGCGCGACATATGCTCCGGAAGGTTCTACTACAACCCATGACCAGTGCTCCATGTGGTACATAGCCTTATGACTCATTAGTTGTAGATATGACTCAGACTGGATTTGGGTATAAATACTGTAGCTACTTGGTTGTATTCTCCAGTCTTCGAATTCACTTCTCTTTTCGACTATTGTTTTTGGGTTGATTGTCACATAATTCGAAGACTCCCCTCATACCCTCCTACCTCTTACCTCCTACCCTGCATCCCACACCGCTATGCCCGCTATATCCTCTTAACCCTTATCACCCCACTCACCCTTTTACCGAATCATCTAGTCGTCCTCCACTATCGCAGTGAAAGGTTCATATCAAGCAAACAGCACCAGGCCACGGGTAACATTGAGCCCAACCCAAGCCTTATGGTAGCTACAAGGAGTGCTGCGGAGACCTTCGGGAAAACACACCTCGGGATCATCGGGCACGTGAAGAGCTAGGCCCGGGATCTTTTTGCTAGCAAAAGAACCCTCCCTCGAGTGCTTGTACAGCACACGATTCCACCATTTTGTACCGATTCCCATCGTCGTCTGGGAGTCCGTCGCCTCCCCCCATCGTACCATCGTCGCCCGATCTGGCGAATCAAAACCAACCCGGGCCCTCCAACCCCTACCTTGCCCTCCCACCGCCTGAAGACGAGATCCCCGACCTCGACGAACTGCCCTCCGAACAACCACCCTCGCCCCCACCTCACACGCCTGCTCCTACCATGTCAGGGCATCACCGTATCACCCTCGCCGCCAACCCCCCCTACTTCGATGGCGACAAGTCCAAGTACCTGGGCTTTGTGGACGCGTGCACCACTTACATTGGTGCCTATCGATCGGAGTTCTCGCTGGATGAAACAAAAATCCTCTTCGTTCTCTCCTACCTCCGTAATGAGACCGGCACAAGCTGCGCTGCCTCGAGATGGGCGATGAACTGGAAACAGCACAACTTCGAGGGTTTCCAAGGACTAAAGACGGGAGTCACCACGAAGAACTTCCTGGAGGAGCTTCAGAGGGCGTTCGGGGACTCCAATGCGGAACAAGTTGCCGCTGCTCGGCTTATGGCCCTGCGTCAAAACAAACAGTCCTTTGTGGACTACATCTCCGACTTTGAGATGTTGGCCGCGGATGCAGGCTACAATGTGGTCGACACCACCGACGACAAAGGCGAATACAAGAAGGGGGACCAGGATAATATCCTCATCGAGTTCCTGGAGCGCGGACTCAGCAGCGAGATCGCCAGCCGTCTCTACAACACTGGTGTCCCTCTGCCCAAGGCCTATGGAGCGTTCAAAGCCTGGTGCATCAACATCGAAGCCAATGCTCTGCGTGACCAGCTGCGCAAAGCGTCGTATGGGCACCCTACACAACGACCACCTCCCCAGTTCCGTCCCCAAGCGGCACCAGTGACCCCCACACCCGCTCCGGCCCGACCCGCTGCCAACGAACCGGTTCCGATGGAAATCAATCGTACCCACGCCCGCGGCCGCAATATCATCTGCTACAACTGTCAGCAGCCCGGGCACATTGCGCGGAACTGTCCAGAGCCAAGAAAGAAGCGCACATTCTTCAACCGGGCCACGATGCTTGAAGAGATCGAGAACGGGGACAAGGACAATGAGTTCCTCAAGGAGATTGCCGAGAAGCTACGCGAGAAGGGTTTTTGAAGCGCTCCACTCCTCTAGCCAAGGAGGTGGAGCGTCCAGACTATGGACGATTTTCTGTACTTGTTTCGATTAAAGACATGAACGATTCTACACCTACATACACAATCTCGGACTCACTACATACGAATATTCACGATTTTCTCATTGCCGATATGGAAAAAGAACGACAAAGAAAAATAGCTTTAAATAGAGAGTATTTACAGAGTAAAAAGGATCAGAAGGTTACAGATAAATTAATTTTGGACTCCTACGTATTTATGGCTCGTGGAGAAGGAACCACGTCAACAAAGACCGAAAAGGGGAGCATTGCTCCGGAGGCTCGATCCTAGGAAAAGGAGGAAGCGCCCAAGGAATCTGCCGAAATCAAGGTTCCAGAAGCACCAAAACGCACCAGGGTGCCAGATGCCGTCCAGAAGAAATTGGCGGCCGAGAAACAGAAGGGTCCCCAGCCCAGCAGATTGGCGCAGGAATTGCGCAGTTACCAGGCCGAAAGGAAGAGGCATTCGATGGACGTATACGTCCAGATCACGGGTCTGGACTCAGGAAAAACGCGTGGAGTCAAGGCGCTACTTGACAGTGGTTGCAGCACCTGCTGCATCGATACCGACTACGCACGGGCAGAGAAGTTGGATATCCAAGAGCTTCCACAACCCATCGTGGCTTGTAACGCCGACAACACCGAGAACATCAGCGGTCGGATCACACACTACGTTGATCTGAGGATGAGAATCAGTCCTCATGTGGAGACACGCACGTTCCTTCGGACGTGCTTGGGGAAAGCCCGGATCTTCATCAGCCTCGATTGGCTGATGGAACACAACCCCAAGGTGGATTGGCAGGAGCAGACCATGAGATTCAGCCGATGCCCAGAGCGGTGTCACATGAGGGGTCACAAGGAACATCAAGCGATGATTGACATGGATGCAATTGACCTGGACACGAGCGCACCGGATCTGGAAGAGGGAGAATCAATCCTGTTGGTCGACTTTGGGAAAGAAGTGGATCTACGGCTGAAGGAAACACCGGCACAGAAATTCGCAGAAGAAGCGGAGAGGGAGAAGGAGAGAATGACCGAGGGAAAGATTCCGGATCAATACCGGGAATTCGTCAAAGTATTTGCCAAGGAATTGTTCGACTGACTACCGGACCAACGGACATGGGATCATGCAATCGAGCTCAAACCTGGTTCCAAGGCAGTGGATTGCAAGGTGTACCCATTATCACGGAACGAACAGGTCAAACTCGACGAGTTCTTACAAGAGAACCTGGCCAGCGGACGGATCAGGCCATCAAAATCACCCATGGCATCAGCATTCTTCTTTGTCAAGAAGAAAGATGGCTCCTTACGTCCCGTCCAAGATTACCGGAAGCTCAATGAAATGACGATCCGAAACCGATACCCGCTGCCGCTGATCTCCGAACTGGTCCATAATCTATGCGGTGCAAAGTTCTTCACCAAGCTCGACATCCGGTGGGGATACAACAACGTACGGATCAAAGAGGGTGACGAGTGGAAGGCCGCGTTCCGCACGAACCATGGACTGTACGAGCCCTTGGTCATGTTCTTCGGTCTCACCAACTCCCCGGCAACCTTTCAAAACATGATGAACGACATACTCCGAGAACTGATCAACGAGGGTCACGTGGTAGTTTATCTTGATGATATATTGATCTTTACAGAAAACTTGGACAAACACCGACAGATCACGAAGCGAGTACTAGAATTGCTCCAAAAACACAAGTTGTACCTGAAACCTGAAAAGTGCGAGTTCGAACGCACGGAGATCGAATATTTGGGTGTAATTATAGGACACAATTCGATGCGGATGGACCCGGTCAAAATCAAGGGTGTGATGGAGTGGCCCGAACCAAGGAGCGTCAAACAGGTCCAAGCATTCCTAGGGTTCACCAACTTCTACCAACGCTTTGTTCGGGGATATGCGGAGGTTGCGAAGCCATTGACACGGCTGACAGGGAAGGCAGGTTGGTCTTGGGGTACGGATGAGCACGCGGCATTCGAGGGATTGAAGAAGAGAATCGCGGAGGATGCGGTCCTAGCACTGCCAAATGACACCGGCCAATATCGTCTGGAAGCCGATGCTTCGGAAGGGGCAACAGGCTCCGTTTTGAGCCAAAACCAAGATAGCATTTGGCGCCCAATCGCATTTATTTCGCACGCCCTGACCGAAACCGAGCGAAATTACGAGATCTACGACAAGGAAATGCTCGCAATCATGCTATCATTGGACGAATGGAGGCAACTACTGATGGGAGCCACGGAAACATTTGAGATCTTCACCGATCATCAGAACCTCGAGTACTTCCGGAAGCCGCAGAAACTCAACCGACGGCAGGCACGATGGATCACAGAGTTGGCGGAGTTTGATTTCACCTTACGACACCGGCCCGGCGCACTCAACCGCAAGGCGGATCTCTTATCTCGACGAGCGGATCATGATCAGGGCAAGAACGACAACAAGGACATCACGTTGCTGAAGCCCGAGTTCTTCCGATCACAAGAAGTCACATTCCAAGGGCAAGACCAGCAGCTAATCGATGAGATCAAGGCCATCCGATCAATGGATGGAAGCGTCAAGGCGGCCTTAGAGAAGTCACTCGCTGGATGGAAAAAGGAAGACGGACTCATCACGTACCATGGGAAACTCTATGTACCAAGGGACGAGGAGCTGCGAGACAAGATTATTGGGCTACACCATGACACACCTTTGGTCTGACATGCCGGGATCAACCGAATGCAGGAGATGGTGGAAAGGAACTACTGGTGGCCAAGGATGGGAAACCAGATTCGGAAGTACATCCAGACGTGCGAGGCGTGCCAACGGACCAAGACCAGGAGAGCAAGGACAGGGACTCTGCACCCGCATGCAGTTCCAAATGCACCATGGGAAATCATCTCAATGGATCAAATCGGACCCTTACCGGTCAGTAATGGGTATGACGCAATTCATGTGTGGTGTGACACCTTCACCAAAATGATCCATGTCGAACCAATTAGTACTGACATCAGCAGTGAAGGAGTTGCACGGTAAACCAGGGATCGAGTCTTCCGCTACCGTGGGATCCCCCGCAAGATCATCACCGACAGGGATTCACGTTACATCAAGGGCTTCATGAAGGAGACGAATCGGATGTTGGGTGTGGAAATGAACCCGGGGACCGCATATCACCCGATCACGGATGGACAGACAGAACGCATGAATCAGGAGATTGAGCACTATCTCCGCATCTACGTCAATTACCATCAGACAGACTGGTCGGAGTGGCTGGGAATGGCGGAGTTCGCATACAACAACAAGATGAACACGTCTACCAAAATATCACCATTCCACGCCAATCACGGATATCACCCATGGAAGGGAGTGGAGCAGCGGATGGAATCGAGGAACGAGTCGGCGGAGGAGTTTGTAAAAAGAATCAAAGAAATACAAGACGAAGCAAAAGCAGCATTGGAAAAAGCAAATGAAAAAATGAAAAAATACTACGATAAACAAAGAAAAGAAGTTCCGGAGTTGAAGGTTGGGATGAAGGTGTACATAGAAGGGGAAAATATCGAGACGGATAGACCATCAAAGAAGATGAGCGACAAGAGATCAGGACCATACGAGATACTGGAGAAGGTTGGAGCGGCCGCATGGAAGCTGGATTTGCCAGACACAGACCGAAGACACCCGGTGTTCAACGAGTCACTATTGACACCATATCACGAACCACCCCCCCATCGCCGAGAGAAGAGACCCGTAGCCAAGATGATCGGAGGAGCAGAGGAGTGGGAAGTCGAAGAGATTGTGAAAGAGCAAAACGTCGGCCGAGGAAAACAGTACTTGGTCAAATGGAAGGGATGGCTGCATAGCGAGAACACCTGGGAACCATCACGTCACCTTACCCATGCGAAGAAGGTCCTGAGAGATTGGCAGAGGAAACAATCAAACCCAGACACACGCATTCGCCTCTTACCAACGCTCAAAGCTGGACATTGGGACTATCTGATTCATCGCTACAAACCCAAAGACGAGCACCTTCCATACCCCCAACGACAACTCTTCGACCCTTACGAGAACGTCTTCACACCCATTGGCCTAGTCGATGAGGACATCGACCCTAGAGAGGGGGTAATGTCATAATTCGGCCACTTTTTATCTTATCTTCGACGATCTCATCTTATCTTGGCACGACTTATCTTATCACAGATCACGGCATCAGACGGTCCGGGCTAGGGGTTCCAGGGGTTATCTCTATCGATTCGAGGCTGCGCGACACATGCTCCGGAAGGTTCTACTACAACCCATGACCAGCGTTCCATGTGGTACATAGTCTTATGACTCATTAGTTGTAGATATGACTCAGACTGGATTTGGGTATAAATACTGTAGCTACTTGGTTGTATTCTCCAGTCTTCGAATTCACTTCTCTTTTCGACTATTGTTTTTGGGTTGATTGTCACATGGTACCAGATGCCCTTGCGCTCATCCGCACCACCCCTCTTCCTTGTTGTGCATTGGTCCTTGCCTCCGATGTCTCCACTGGCCGGCCCGGCATTGGCCTGGCCACTGGGCTCCTCCAGTGTGGCCTTCCACTGTTGGTGCCTCAGGAGCTGGCCATCACTGGCCCCTCTGAGCCACTCACTATCTTATCTGGGTTTGTCATCATCTACTTGTCATCTGCCATGGTTCCATGGCAGTGATATCCCATCATCATCAGTCACTTGTCACAGCTGACTATATAGTGTGACACCTGGGCACATGGATCCTTGAACCGTTCTCTAAGGATCCCCCTCTGTGCTCAGGTGAGTAGTATACCTCCCTTGTATTTGATAGTCTCTAAGGATCCTCCTCTGTGCTCAGACTCATGTGAGGTTGTTGTGTGCTGTGTGCTCTCTTCCTTTGGGCTGGCAGGAGTTGCCCTTACATCACTTCTCTTTTCAACCTTATTGATTGTTGATTGTCACAGGAACACAGCAATTTGGTGGAAAAGGGAGATTGATTTCCTCTGCATGTGACTGAGGATGTCACATGCTGGCCACACGTAAGCAGTTCATGTGATTGCACAAAATCTTGATGTGTTTTTTTTTAAAAGTCAAATGGATGGAAATCTGAAACCAGAGTCGTTCCTATGACTATGTACACTATTTCTAGACAGTTCAATTTTCTACAAGTATCTCCCTCTGCTGCCATTGATGTTGTCGTACTTTGTCCACTTGATTTGGTGGATCTGCATGACGGGTACCTTGGTTGATATATTGAGCACGTCATGCATTGCTAAGCCCTCCGGCATGAGTCCCCATCTGCAGAGAATGACCCTTTCAAGGAGTCACCGCCACAAGAGTATCCCTTTTCAGGAATTGCTGCAACACAAGTGTCTATTACTTCTAGCCCTAAGTCTGGTATAGACTTATAAGACCAATTCCACAGGAGTGGTCTGACTGCCTTGCCATCGTTGACACTATCCACAGTTGTTGACTGGGCAGCTGTGACAATCAACCCAAAAACAATAGTCGAAAAGAGAAGTGAATTCGAAGACTGGAGAATACAACCAAGTAGCTACAGTATTTATACCCAAATCCAGTCTGAGTCATATCTACAACTAATGAGTCATAAGACTATGTACCACATGGAACGCTGGTCATGGGTTGTAGTAGAACCTTCCGGAGCATGTGTCGCGCAGCCTCGAATCGATAGAGATAACCCCTGGAACCCCTAGCCCGGACCGTCTGATGCCGTGATCTGTGATAAGATAAGTCGTGCCAAGATAAGATGAGATCGTCGAAGATAAGATAAAAAGTGGCCGAATTATGACATTACCCCCTCTCTAGGGTCGATGTCCTCATCGACTAGGCCAATGGGTGTGAAGACGTTCTCGTAAGGGTCGAAGAGTTGTCGTTGGGGGTATGGAAGGTGCTCGTCTTTGGGTTTGTAGCGATGAATCAGATAGTCCCAATGTCCAGCTTTGAGCGTTGGTAAGAGGCGAATGCGTGTGTCTGGGTTTGATTGTTTCCTCTGCCAATCTCTCAGGACCTTCTTCGCATGGGTAAGGTGACGTGATGGTTCCCAGGTGTTCTCGCTATGCAGCCATCCCTTCCATTTGACCAAGTACTGTTTTCCTCGGCCGACGTTTTGCTCTT